TAGCTGGGACTACAGGCGTGCACCACCACGCCCAGCCAATTTTTGTATTTTTAGTAGAGACGGGGTTTCACCTTGTTGACCAGGATGGTCTCGATCTCTTGACCTCGTGATCCACCCGCCTCGGCCTCCCAAAGTGCTGGGATTATACGCGTGAGCCACTGCTCCCGGCCAAGGATTTTTAAAAGATAACACTTTTTAAGCATAACCACATGCTATCATAGTACAAATCAGAATTTCAAGTAATTATTGGCTGAGTATGGTGGCTCATACCTGTAATCCTAACACTTTTGAAGGCAGAGGCGGGAGGATCACCTGAGGTCAGGAGTTCAAGACCTACCTGGCCAACATGGTGAAACCCTATATCTACTACTAAAAAAAAAAAAAGTCCAGGAACAGTGGTTCATGCCTGTAATCCCAGCATTTTGGGAGGCCAAGGTGGGTGGATCACTTTAGGTGAGGAGTTCAAGACCAGCCTGGCCAAGATAGCAAACCCTGTTTCTATTAAATGTACAAAAATTAGGTGGGCATGGTGGCAGGTACCTGTAATCCCAGCTACTCGGGAGGCCGAGGCACGAGAATTGCTGGAATTTTCGAGGCAGAGGCTATGGTGAGCTGAGATCGTGCCACTACACTTCAACCTGGACGACAGAGTGAAACTTTATTTAAAAAAAAAATAAGCCGGCCAGTTGCGGTGGTTTACACCTGTAATCCCATCGCTTTGGGAGGCTGAGATGCGCGGATCATCTGAGGTCAGGATTTCGAGACCAGCCTGGCCAACATGGTGAAACCCCGTCTCTACTAAAAATACAAAAAATTAGCTGGGCACGGTGGCATGTGCCTGTAATCCCAGCTACTAGGGAGGCTGAGGCAGGAGAATTGCCTGAACCCAGGAGGCGGAGGTTGCGGTGAGCCAAGATCGCACCATTGCACTCCAACCTGGGTAACAAGAGCCAAACTCCGTCTCAAAAAAAAAAAAAATTAGACAGTCCTGGTGGCAGTGCACCTGTAGTCCCAGATACTCAGGAGGCTGAGGCAGGAGAATTAATTGAGCTTGGGAGGCGGAGGTTGCAGTGAGCTGAGATCAGGTCACTGCACTACAGCCTGGGCGACATAACAAATTTACTCAAAGCTTTATATGACACAGGAGCCCTCAGAAAGGAAGAACCCCCCCACCCCAAGGCATTATTTCTTACAGGAAAATTATAGAGACAATTTCAGTGTCCATCAAGAGAGGAATGAACAGTTAAAGTATAACATATCCATATTACGTGTTAATTGTGGACGAATGTTCAACACATTTTTTAAAAACAATTTTTGTAGGGACAAGATCTTGCTATGTTGTGCAGGTTGGTCTCTAACTCCTGGCCTGAAGGAATCCTCCTTCTTAGCCGCCTCAGGTGCTGGGATTATAGGTTCCAACCAGCATGACCAGCCTTATTTTTGAATATAAAATGTAAGATGAACAATATGTGAATCACCCACATTAGAAAAATACCAAAGAATTCCCAACTTTATACTTTCTCTGTCTCTAACATAAAAATAAGTTTATTTATTTATTTATTTTTTGAGAAGGAGTCGGGCTCTGTCACCCAGGCTGGAGTGCAGTGGTGCAATCTCACTGCAACTTCTGCCCCCAGGGTTCTAGCGATTCTCCTGCTTCAGCCTTCAGAGTAGCTGAGATTAAAGGCACATGCCACCACAACCGTCTAATTTTGTATTTTTACAAAATTAAGACGGGGTTTCACCATGTTGGCCAGGCTGGTTTCAAACTCCTGACCTCAGGTGATTCGTCTGCCTCAGACTCCCAAAGTGCTTGGAGTACAGGCATGAGGCACTGCACCTGGCAAAAAAATAAGTTTAAAATGATATACACAACTATTAATCGTGCTTACCCCTAGGGAATGGGAAAGCAGAGATGGAAAGAGGTGTATTTTCACCTTTTTGCTTTGTAGAGGTCTATATAAATTTAATTTTATTTTTATTTTGGGATGGAGTTTGGCTCTGTTACCCAGGCTGGAGCACAGTGGCACAATCTCCGCTCACTATAACCTCCATCTCCTAGGTTCAACAGATTCCCCTGAGGCCTATATAATTTTAATTAAAAAGAGAGTGAGCATCATAACATTTATAAATCTGAGAAAAACACCATGTGTTTTCTTTTCTTTCTTTTTTTTTTTTTTTGGAGACCTCTGCCTCCCGTATTCAAGCGATTCTCCTGCCTCAGCCTCATGAGCAGCTGGGACTACAGGCGAGCGATACCACACTCAGCGAATATTTGCATTTTTAGTAAAGATAGGGTTTCACTATTTTGGCCAGGATGGTCTCGAGCTCTTGACTTCAAGATCCGCCCACCTCAGCCTCCCAAAGTGCTGGGATTATAGGCGTGAGCCACCGTGCCCAGCCAGTACCGGATGTTTTCTTAACCACTTGATTCTATGAGTTTGTATCCAGACTACGGGCCTGAAATGTTAAAACCACAAATGTGGCCCGGCACTGTGGCTCATGCCTGTAATCCCAGCACCTTGGGAGGCCGAGGCAGGCGGATCACGAGGTCTGGAGTTCGACACCATCCTGGCTAACACGGTAAAACCTCATATCTACTAAAAGTACAAAGAAAATTAGCCGGGCGTGGTGGCTCGCGCCTGTAATACCAGCTACTCGGACGCTGAGGCAGGAGAATCGCTTGAACCTGAGAGGCGGAGGTTGCGGTGAACGGAGAGTGCTCCATTGCACTTCATCCTGGGCGACAGAGCAAGACTCCGTCTCAAAACGAACAAAAAACTGACAATGTACTTATTTATATAGCATTAGCAATGGCTCCCTTATAGTTCAGGCTCTGTACAGAGCTGCAATCAAATAATCACGGTCAAGAATCCAGAAAGAGACCTGGTGGTGGCTCGCGTCCGCAGTCTCGGGATTTCAGGAGGCCCAGGCAGACGGATCACCTGAGATCACGTGTTCGACACCAGCCTGGCCCACAAGGAGATACCTCGTTTATACTAAAAATACAAAAATTAGCCGGGCATGGAGGCACGCGCCTGTAATCCCAGGTACCAGGAAAGCTGAGGCAAGTTAATCTCTTGAACCCAGCGGGCGGAGGTTGCGGTGAGAGGAGATTTCGCCACTGCAGTCCAGCCTGGGCGACAGAGTAAGTCTCCGTCTCGGGGAGAAAAAAAAATCCAGAAAGAAAGAACAAAGCAGTTGAAATTTTTACTTGCAGGAGTTCAAAGTCTATTAACATCTTCTTATCCAGTCCCTGTAGTTCCCTAGAGACTTTCTTATTCCAAATGCCCAAACCTTTCTCAACGCTCCTCCAACCCCCACTCTTTTCTCAGCCCTTCTGTTAATTCACATAAATGTCCTAAGCCTCTGGGTTTTCTGAAGCAACTGGTCATATTTCTGCATCCCAAAAGATCACAAAACTTGGTTAGTGAAGATTCTTCTTTAGTTAAGGGTGGCGAAGCTTGGCCCCATTCACATATTGAGGGTATCTATTTCTCTAAAAAACATTTCTTTTGAGATGGAGTCTTGCTCTGTCGCTCAGGCTGGAGTGTAGTGGTGCGCTGCAACCTCCGCCTCCGGGGTTCAAGCAATTCTACTGCCTCAGCCTCCTGAGTAGCTGGGATTACAGGTGCGAAACACCACGCCCGGCTAATTTTTGTATTTTTAGTAGAGACGGGGGTTTCACCATGTGAGTTAGGCTGGTCTGGAACTCCTGACCTCGTGATCCGCCCACCTCACCCTCCCAAAGTGCTGGGATTACAGGCGTGAGCCACCGCGCCACGCCCCAAATTTGATTTTGTTAATATTTAGTTCATGTGTATCATAGCGGATCGTTCTAACCTGATTCTATTTTGAGAAAAGAAATTAAGTAGGGGGCTGGGAGCGTTGGCTCACTCCTGTAATCCCAGCATTTTAGGGAGACCGAGGCGGGCGGATCACGAGGTCAGGAGATAGAGACCATCCTGGCCAACGTGGTGAAACCTCGTCTCCACTAAAATACAAAAAATTAGCCAGGCGGGGTGGCGCGCGCCTGAACTGCCAGCTACTCGGGAGCCTGGGCAGGGGAATCGCTTGAATCCGGGAGACGGAGGTTGCAGTGAGCCGAAATCACGCCACTGCACGCCAGCTTGGCGACAGAGCAAAACTCGGTTTCAAAAAAAACAAAAACAAAAAGTAAGTAGGGGCATTGCTATTATTTGTATTCCTCGCTTCTTAAATGTGTTTGCTATGTTGAGGTTAAAAAAAAAAAAAAAAAAGATTATGGATCTTTAGAACGCCCCAATGCCCGGGGGCTGCTGGTGTTTGTCAAGGTGTAGCTTAAAATGTTTATTCTCATGCTCGATCCCAAATATTCGAATTAAGCCTTTAGTAGTTGTTACAAGTCACCCGCTTTCTTTCCCGAAGAATGTTAAAGATTAAGAGAGGCAGTTAAGTCAGAGCCTGCCCATCCTCCCAGCTCTTAGGGCGATGTCCTTGCTCATTTGGAGACTGATTCAGTCCCCTTTTGACCCCCAAAGTACATGAAGATGAGAATTTTGGAGATGTTTTCTTAGGAAGAACAGAGCTGTGAAAATACAGTTCCGTAGGTCTGGCCAGTAGCTACATCTTTCCATCCCAACAAAGAATAAGCCGCAATTTACTCTCTCTGGCACCTGAACTCTGAGGTAGCGATTAACTCTGATCCCAAACTATCAGGCAAGTAAAAAAAAATCCTGAAGTGATTACGCCTGTTTGGAGGCTTGCAGGGCACTAGGGGATGGAGAAAGGTGAATCGAGGTGCTCTCTAGCTCATTCCTAGCCTGCTAACCCGCCATGTCTAACATAGCTAAGGGCTGCCGACGCCATTTTGCAGGGTGGGCTGCGCAGACTCTTGGCGGGAGGCCAACGCGCTTGAGCGGGAGAAGACGTGGAAGTGTAGGAGGTGGAGAGCCCGCGCTACGAGTAAAAAGCACGCGTGCGCACTGGCGACGGCGGCGGAGGGGTGGGGCCGGTGTACGAGTGCGCGTGCTCGGTGGGAGCCCGCGGAGTACCTGGAGGAGGTCGGGGGCGAGGTAGAAAAGAGTGGGGTTGAAAAGCGCTTGCGCAGGAGGGCTACGGTAACGGCAGGGGAGGGCTCCGGGGCACGCAGGCGGAGGCGGGACTTGAGAAGTTCTCGCGAGATCTTCAGTGCTTTATATAAGCGCGGGGCGCTTACGTCCTTTCCCTGGTGTGAGTCCGTCCTGAGCGGCTGTTCTTTTGAGCAGTGGTCGTTTATCTCCGTCCGCCTTCTCTTCCACCTAAGTGCGTGTCGCCACCCGATGGAAGATTCGATGGACATGGACATGAGCCCCCTGAGGCCCCAGAACTATCTTTTCGGTAACTGCTGGGGGGAGCTGGAGCGAGGCCGAGCGGGGCCTGTTGGCGGTGAGGGTGGGGGTGGGGGGCGGGAATGTGGCTGCCGCCGGGTCTGGTGGAGACCGCCAGACCGGCTAGAGGCCTGAAGGGGTGGGAAGAGCTGCTGGAGCCTTGTATCTGGAGGGATTGAATTCGGGAGGGAGCCGGTGGCGTGAAGGGGTGAGGAGACTAGCGGGTTGAAGAGCCTGTGGCGTGAGTGGTCCGAGGCCCAGGGCCTAAGGTAAAGTGGAATCGGCCGCCTGAAAGTTCGGCCGTTGCCGGGGTGACGCCGCGGAGCTCGGGGCGTGGTTTATTTCCTAACGCTGTTCATTGGTACGCTTCTAGTTTTAGACCCCCGGGCTGGTGGTCCCGGAGGCTGGGTTCACCTGGAAGCACGGGCCTACTTGTTGAAGCAGGGGATAGATGAATAGCCTGGCGTTGTTCTCCTGTGCCCAGGCCTCAGAGTCTGTAGTTGCCGGACCCGGACTTCACTCGCGTGCTTCGGCCAGTTGCTGGGGGAGGGGAGGTGCGGCGTGAGGAGGCCGCAACCGCTGGGAGCACGTGGTTGCCACGTGGTTGGGGGAGGGAGGGGGTGTGGGCGCTACATCCGGGGCTCACCGGAGTCTTGGCACACCCGATCCTGGGATGCTGTGGTTCAGTTGAAGTGGGAAATGTTCGGAGGCTGGTAGCACCAGGATTCTGGAGGTCTTTGTTCAGTGCTTGCAGCATCTAATGTGATGGCAGCTCTATTTTGAGACGCTTTTCTGTCTCTACAGTAGGTGGAGGTAGCCCCACTTTGCAGACGATGATACTGGTGCCCAGATAGAAACTCACGTAACGAAGGTTGTACTAAACCAAGACGTTTGACTCCGTAGCGGGTGCTTCGTGAATATTAATGAGGCTTCCGTTTTGGGGGGAGGTCCTCCCATGCCGCCATTTGTGCGGCATTGACCAAACCGCTTTAATAAAAAAACTCGAAGACTGTTCGGTTTGAATCAATTGAAGACCTGAGACTATTCGCAGAATTTTAGGACCGTTCGACTTGCGATAGTCCTGCCCCAAAACGGAGAGTCCCACTTGGGTTTTTTATCTCAATAAGCTTAATTGCAGAACTGTATGCTATTGAGACTTTGAAGTAAGTGCATATCCTGCCTGTAACTTGATTCGTTCATTATCCGTACTGAGACTTGCTAAATTAAATTTCTGCACATTTAAATATGTATATGTATTGGTAACGCTTAGATGATAATAAATGGAATCATTTAAAATTTTTATTCTGACAGTATTTTGAAGAATTTGCCCAGGAGTAGACACATCTATTTAAAACATCAAGGCTTTAATTCCTAGCTATTTTGGATAGCTGAGAATTCTGGTAAATTTGTATCAATACTTTTTGGTAACTATTGGAAGCAACCCTCCTTGTCTTAAACATAATTTCTGAATTTAGTTTCAGGCCTATGTCACTTTCTGTTGCTTTAAAGACTGGTGTGTTGACCCCTGTAGCAAGCTCTGGTTCTTGTACCTTTGTCGTTTTGTTTTTTTTTTTTTTGTAATAGTAATCTATTCGTATTTGTAACCATTCTCATTTCGAATTTGCCATTTGGGTAGATCAGCTGTTTTAAATAGTGGGAAGCTTAACATTGGACATTACGTTTGGTTTCAGATAATTGCTTCAGTTTCAGATATACTAAACCACTGTTTCTATATGCAGAATGAGAATATAATAGAAATGAAATACGGTATGATGAGAAAGTGGAATTTATAGTCTTTTATGGGTGTTACTTGTTTGTAGAGATTTCTGTTCAAGAAATCTAGGAATTGATCATTCTGCTTTGCCCTTTGGTAGCTAAAATAGTGAAAAACTAGTTCGAAAGTAAACCTTGATCTTGTTGGTTACCCACACTTAAGTTTCAGTGTTATTTTTCTCCTTGTTAGAGTTGCTTTTTTCTTCATTTACAGGTTGTGAACTAAAGGCCGACAAAGATTATCACTTTAAGGTGGATAATGATGAAAATGAGCACCAGTTATCTTTAAGAACGGTACTTAAACTTTCAAAATAAACTACTTAACCCTACTTGATTTCAGCCTTTTCGTTTCTATTCATGTGGCTTGAGACTTTTCCTTTGCTGACTGCTTATAAAATACTATTTCTTACACCTGGGTATTGTGTGTACCTCACTGTTTATACATCTGTGATAAAGAACTTGGCATCTATACCACTCATTTGGAAACCATGTAAAATCCAATCACCCTCTTTAGTTATTTTCTTTAGTTGGATTATACAGCCCTTGTAAAAGGCAGTGATAATCTTACATGTCTACCAGAGACTAGCCTTCAGCTCAACTTTGAAATTGCTCAGTAAATAATTGTTAGGTGATCTAGATTGTGTGTATGCATATTTATGCATTTCTTAAATTTTCTGAATATGAGAAATTGATTTGCCAAGATCAAAAAACTTGAGGAAAACATTGCACAAATTTGTTTTCCAAAGTAATGATGTGAGGTTTATGTTTGTTTTTTTAAAAAAGTTATGTGCTTTATTGCAACTGCTGGGTCAACAGATGGACCCCATATACAATGGTGGTCCCATAAGATTATTACACCCTATTTTTGATGTACCTTTTCTTGGGCTTTTTTTTTTTTTTTTTTTGAGACAGTCGCTCTGTCACCCAGGCTGGAGTGCAATGGTGTGATCTCTGCTCCCTGCAACCTCTGCCTCCCAGGTTCAAGTGATTCCCCTGCCTCAGCCTTCCAAGTAACTGGGATTACAGGCATGTGCCACCACGCCTGACTAATTTTTCTATTTTTAGTAGAGATGAGGTTTCACCATGTTGTCCAGGCTAACCTCGAACTCCTGACCTGGTGATAATATATGCCTGCCTTTGCCTCCCAAAGTGCTGGGATTACAGGCGTGAGCCACCATGCCCACCCCTTTCCTGTGTTTAGATGCACAAATACTATTGTGTTTTGGTTGCTTACAGTAACATGCTGTACAGGTTTGTAGCCTAGGTGTGTGTAGTAGGCTATACCATCTAGGTTTGTATAAGCACGTGCTTATGATTGTACAAATTGCCTAACAACGCATTTCTCAGAACCTAGCCCTGTGGTTAAGTGACGCATGGCTGCATATAATAACATTTGTTGGGGGGTTGTAAAATAGCTGGAACTCAAAAAGTTGAAGTGGTTTTTTTTTTGTTCACAGGTCAGTTTAGGAGCTGGTGCAAAGGACGAATTGCACATTGTTGAAGCAGAGGCAATGAATTACGAAGGCAGTCCAATTAAAGTAACACTGGCAACTTTGAAAATGTCTGTACAGCCTACGGTAAGGGCGCTTTCATACTTTGGATATTGTGTTAAGGTTTAATTCTGTTTTAAGGTAGGTTTGGAGTCATTTAGGTTGTTCCAAGGAGATAGAAAGTGGTTATTTTCTGTCACTGGAGTTGAATGGTCAACTTATGAACATGGAGGTTTCTGCTGCTTGTTTAGTGGAAAAACAGGTTCACTGGTTTGTTGATTTGGTTTATGTGTTTGCCTGTAATATTTATTGTACATTCCGTTTACATATTTAGTGATGAAAAATCACTTTCTTCTAGGTTTCCCTTGGGGGCTTTGAAATAACACCACCAGTGGTCTTACGATTGAAGTGTGGTTCAGGGCCGGTACATATCAGTGGACAGCACTTAGTAGGTATGGTATTTTTATATATTATACTACTTAATTTATTCTCTTTAATGCAGTTGCTTGGTTCCCAGTTTGGATTTCTTAAAGCATGGGTTGGCTGGGTGAGGTTGCTTACACCTATAATCCCGGCACTTTGGGAGGCTGAGTCAGGTGGATCATAAGGTCAGGAGTTCCAGACGAGCCTGGCCAAGATGGTGAAACCCCGTTTTCTACTAAAAATAAAAAAAATTAGCCGGGCATGGTGGCACGTGCCTGTAGTCCCAGCTACTTGGAGGCTGAGGCAGAAGAATCACCTGAACCCAGCAGGGGGAGGTTGCAGTAAGCCAAGATTGTGCCATTGTGCTCCACCCTGGGTGACGAGTGAGACTCTGTCTCTCAAAAAAAAAATAAAAAGCATGGGTATCATACTACTGTCTTCATAGTAGATTCAAATGTGAATCTAGTAATTTATAATTGGAGAGGACAAACAAATTTTTGGGAGGAAAACAACCTTACTCTTGTCACCCAGACTGGAATGCAGTGGCACAATCACTGCAGCATCCGCCTCCCAGGTTCAAGTGATCCTCGTGCCTCAGCCCTCCCCAGTAGCTGGGACTACTGGCATGCGCCATCATGCCTAGCTATGCTTTAAAGTTTTAGTAGGAAAGATTTTGTGATGTTGGCCAGGCTGATCTTGAACACTTGGCCCTAATGTGATCTGCCTGCCTTGGCCTCTCAAAGTGTTAGAGGCATCAGCCACTGTGCCTGGCCTAAATTTTTTTATTTTGTAGAGACAGTCTCACTCAACAAGGCTGGAGTGCAATGGTGTGATCATAGCTTGCTATGGCCTTGAACTACTAGTGGGTTCACCTCAGCTTCCGGAATACCTAGAACTACTGGCATGCTTCACCACACCTGGTTAATTGTGTGTGTGTGTGTGTGTGCGCGCGCGCGCGCGCGCGCGGGGTCTCACTCTGTTGCCCAGCTTGGTCTCTTGGCCTTAAGTGGTCTACCTTGACCTCCCAAAGTGAGATTACGGGCGTGAGCCACTGTGCTTAGGTTTCTTGCATTTAAAACCTGGCAGTGAACATTAGGCCCCAAAATACCTTTGTTAAAAAGTTCCTTTTCCCATTTGCTCTTTTATTAGTGAATAGAAATCTCAGTTTCAATATGTGTACTGTATACTGTCAGTGTTCTTTTTGTCTGATTTCTTGCTGTTTTGAGTTTTATAATTTCAAATAAATTGTATTTTAGCTGTGGAGGAAGATGCAGAGTCAGAAGATGAGGAGGAGGAGGATGTGAAACTCTTAAGTATGTCTGGAAAGCGGTCTGCCCCTGGAGGTGGTAGCAAGGTTCCACAGGTAGAGATGGCAATTTTATTATAGGTTTTGTATTATAGCTTTTATTATGATGATAAGAGATAAGATCAGCTCTTGTTCATGGTGTACCTTTTCTTTTAAAAGAAAAAAGTAAAACTTGCTGCTGATGAAGATGATGATGACGATGAAGATGATGATGATGATGATGATGAAGAGTAAGTATGATCTTAGAAACGACATAATTCTGGAACCTTAACAGAAAAAAGGAATTTGACATAGTTGTATGCATGAGGATTTTAAGAATTATTTACAAAAAGCAAACCGGTGTAATAGTTAATAATGAAAGGGCAAGTAGTTATCTGTTGTCAGTTTCAGTTAAATGAGCTGAGTTGAAAGGATGGGTCCAAGAGAGCCTTTACGATGCTGTGACTTGTGAATCTTCAGAAGGGTAGACTATAGCATTGTGAAGTTTGATTATGTCTTTTGTCCTAAAGAAAATTTAGTGGATGTGTTACTATGCCCATTAGGTCTGGTATTATTTATCATGAACAGTTAATTAGATTGAGTAGAAAGAAAATCTGACTAAATAGCTCTATATTCATTTTACAAGTTGTTACTGAAGGTTGTTCCTCCCCTAAGGATTTTGGTTTGTGGTTTTATGTAGATCCTTATAGACAAAAATAAGATTCTAAAAGGGATATTAATAAGATTTTTGGGGGGACTTAGAATATGGTTGGAAACAGGATTTGATGTGTTTATATTAAACAAGATAAAACTATTATAAACAGTACAGGCACACTGTGGTATTAAGTGGTTTTGTGTGCCAGTGTCAGTAGTACATTGAATACTTTAGTCAGCTTTTTTCCTCAGTTCTGAGATTGGTCCATATGCATTTATTGAAAACATATTAAATAAAATACAAGAAAAAAACACATAGTCTTCTAGAGAATGCATGAATGATCAGATCAGGAGTGCAGGTGGTTCTTTATAATCTTTGCGCATGATGAAGGCAGAAAACAGGAAAAAGGCCAAAAGCTTAAAAATTCAAAAGTATGACCAGTTGCAGTGGCTCACGCCCATAATTCTGACATTTGAGATCGGAGGATCTCTTGAGGCCAGCCAGCCTGGTCAGCATAGGGAGACCCCTCGCCCCCCCAGCTCAAAAGAAAAAAATTCAGAGTACTTGAATGTCAAACTTAAAAAGAAACTCAAACTCAAGGCAGTATTTGACTGTTACTTTTTTCTTTCTTCTTTTTGAGATGGGGAGGCTCTTCATTTCCCAGGCTGGAGTACAGTGGTGTGAGCTTGCTGCAACCTCTCCCTCCCAAGTTAAAGCATTTCCCCTGCATTCGTCCTCCTGAGTAGTTGGGTCTATAGGCATAAGCCACCATGCCCAGCTATTTTTTTTTTTTTGAGATGGGAGTCTCCCAGGCTGGAGTGCAGTGGTGTCATCTCGGCTCGCCACTTCCTCTGCCTCCTGGGTTCAAGCAGTCTCCTTCAGTCTTGAGTATCTAGGATTACAGGCGCCCACTGCCACACCCAGCAAATTTTTGCATTTTTAGTAGAGACTCGCAAAAATGGGCATAATTCATGATGTGTTTTTCTGTGTCTGAACTGGGTGTTTATAGGAATGAAAAGTGTACATAATATCAAGGTCCAAATCATTTAAGTTGAACTGAAGGAAGTGTACTCAGCTATATGCATAGTAGTAAAGGATCCCTTGAGGGAAACAAGTCTATTTTTTTTTTTTGAGACAGAGTTTTGCTCTTGTTGCCCAAGCTGGAGTGCAGTGGTGTGATCTCAGCTCACTGCAACCTCTGCCTCCAGAATAGCTGGGATTACAGGCGGGCACCACCACACCTGGCTAATTTGGCTAATTTCTTCTATTTTTAGTAAAAACAAGGTTTCACCATGTTAGTCTTGAGGCCTCAGCCTCCCCAAGTGCTGGGGTAATAGACATGAGCCACTGCACTGGCAACAAGTCTTAAGAAACTTAAGTGGTTAAGATGGCAATGAAAATGCAAAGAGGTGCGTGAAGATTTAATCTAACCCTTTGAACCCACAGATAAAAGGGGAAATCAGTGATCTCTTGAGAATGGAAAGAGTATGATGTGGGCTTAGTTGACTCTACTATTGATTTAAGAAAGCAAGCTTATGTAATATGCATATTGCTGATGTATACTATACATAGATGTACGTAATATATATATATATGTGTGGCCTTTTTTGGGTGGGGGGTGGGGGAGACGGAGTCCTGCTCTGTAGCCCAGGCTGGAGTGCAGTGGCGCCATCTTCGCTCACTGCAACCTCTGCTTCCTGGGTCCGGGTTCCAGCACTTCTCCTGCCTCAGCCTCCCGAGTAGCTGGGATTACAGGCACATGCTACCATGCCCAGCTAATTTTTGTATTTTCAGTAGAGGTGGGGTTTCACCATGTTGACCAGGCTGGTTTTGAACTACTTGATCTCTCGATCCGCCCGCCTCAAAAAGTGCTGGGATTACAGGCATAGCCACAGTGCCCATCCCCTTTGTAGGTTTTATAGCTGATTTTTTTTTTTTGAAGTAAAGTTTGAGTTCTCTAGCTTTGTCCTTCCAAGATTGCATTTGTTCTCGTTAGCTCCCTTAAGTGTCTGCTGTTTTTGTGTTTTGAGATAGGGTCTTGCTTTGTCACCCAGGCTGGAGAGCAGTGGTGCAGTGACAACTCATTGCCTCAAGATCTTCCTGCCCCACTGCCCTGCTAATTAATTTTTTTAAATTATTTGTTTATTTTTTTAGAGATAGGGTTCTTGTTATGTGTCGCCTAGGCTAGTCTCAGACTAGAACGATCCTCTAACCTCAGCCTCCCAAAGTGTTAGGATTATAGGTAAGAGACACTGTGCCAACTTTTGGCTTTGTATATAAACTTTAGGATCTGTCTGTACAGAGAAACCAGCTTAGGGAGTCTTCTAAGGATTGTATTTAATCCTTATGTTTGGGGAGTGTTGCCATCTTGGCAATATCTGAACATTGGAATGTTTCTATTTAGGTCTTCAATTTTTTAACACAAATTTACTATTTAAATGTACAGTTTAATGTCACTAAATATACATTAAATATACATACATTGTACAGCAGTATTATAGTATGTGTTCATACAAAACAACTCATTGAGCAACTTCATTTCCCAGCCCTTAGCGACCACAATTATACCTTCTTTTTCTTTGAGTTTGACTACTTTCATAGATATATAATAATGAATAGGATTATACACTGTTCTTTTGTGGCTGGCTTACTTTGTTCAAGGTTCAGTCATGTTGCAGCATGTGAGAGGATTTTCACTGTGTATACATAAGACATTTTTATTATTTAGCCGTTAACATTTGGGTTGCTTTCACCTCTTGGCTGTTGTGAACAATGCTGCAATGAACATGGGTGCACAAAAAAATCACTTGAAGGTCCTGCTTTCAATTCTTTTGTATACTCCTAAATTTTGAAAGTACTTAATGTCTTGACATTTTTATTTGTAGTGATGATGATGATGATTTCGATGATGAGGAAACTGAAGAAAAAGTGCCAGTGAAGAAAGTGAGTATAATATAATGCTACAAGGTAGGATTATATATAAATTTATATATATATATAAAAATAACAATAGAAATAGTAGTTTTTTAATGCTATTCGAGTTTTGTAGTTAAGGAAAGTTGGTGTGGGGAGATCATCTATCTCAAACTGAAATTGAGTTATGAGGAGGACTACAGAAAACTTACAGTGGGGAATGGTCTGTTTTCTTTATCCATGTGGCCTTCCCCACAATTTGTTTACTGCTTTTAATTTTTTTTTGAGATGGAGTTTTGCTCTGTTGCCCAAGCTGGAGTGCAGTGGCACAATCTTGGCTCACCTCAACCTCTGCCTCCCAGTTCAAACGATTATCCTGCCTCAGCTTCCTGAGTAGCTGGGATTACAGGCACATGCCACCACACCTGGCCTGTGGTTGCTGCTTTTCTTACATGGTTTGGACAGTTTGTTTGCACTGATGTTGGGGGCAGAGACAGTGATTAAGATTAATTTCTAATTGCAGTCTATACGCGATACTCCAGCCAAAAATGCACAAAAGTCAAATCAGAATGGAAAAGACTCAAAACCATCATCAACACCAAGATCAAAAGTAAGTGGCAACATTTACACAGATGAGTCTCATTGATCCAGTTGGTAAAATCTGTGGAAGAATCTAGTGTGAAATTTAATAGACCTTTATAGAACCCTTGTAATTGGTGTTTTAAAGTTTAAATCAGCTTGTTGTGTGTTGTAAGTACACACACACATGAATATACTAAATGTAATGTGCTACTGGGGTTACAGTGTGGTGGTGGGAGCCAGTAGAATTTTTTTTTTTTGAGAGTCTCACTTTGTCACTCAGGCTGGAGTAGAGTGGCGTGATCTCAGCCTACTGCAACCTTCACCACCTGGGTTCAAGCGATTGTCCTGCCTCCCAAGTAGCTGGGACTATAGACGTGCCCCACCATGCCCAGCTAATTTTTGTAGTTTTTAGTAGAGGTGGGGTTTCACTATACTATGGCCAGGCTGGTCTTGAACTGACCTTAGGTGATCTGCCCCGCCCTCTCAAAGTGTTGGGAAAGTGTGAGCCACCGTGTCTGGCTTGAATTTATGTATGTGTATATATATATATATATATATATATATAGTGAAGTCAACAGTTTTTTATAAGGAATCTTTGTTGAAAAGTGTGTCTGAGTAGAGCAGAGGTTCTCAACCTTGGCTACATATCAGATTGAAGCAGAATGTTTAGGACCAGACAGGGTTTGGTGGTCTACCCACTGCTCTGCAGAAAATGGAATTTGAAGGAAAAAAAAATTTAAAAGATCCCCAGCAGTACTTAATACTTAAGGAGATACTGTAAAAATGGTCTGGGGTGGGCCCCAGGCATCAGACTATAATGACTTCATTGCTTTCATCTTTGAAAGTAAGATCTTCTGATCTCATTTTTTTTAGAGCTGACTTGATACTGTACATAAAACCAAACTCCCAAATTATTCTAGTTTATTTTTTCTTTTTTTAAAGAAATGGGTGTCCTACTTATGCCCAGGTTGGACAGTACAGTGGTATGATCATAGCTCATGACATCCTCCAGCTGCTGGGCTCAAGTAATCCTCCTACCTCAGCCTCCGGAATAGCTGGGATTATAAGAATGCACCACCATGCCTAGCTAATCATCTTACTCCTTCCTTAAAAGACTGATTTTAAGAACAAATTAATTGTATGGTGTGAATTTATTTAATGATTCCAGTTGTATAATTAGTTTTATAAGGGAATTTTGTTAAGAATATTTGAGGAAATCCAGATTGGATGGGTTTTAATTAGGGGTTGTATTTTTACTACCTTTTGGAAATTCATTTCTTTTTTTCAGGGACAAGAATCCTTCAAAAAACAGGAAAAAACTCCTAAAACACCAAAAGGACCTAGTTCTGTAGAAGACATTAAAGCAAAAATGCAAGCAAGTATAGAAAAAGTGAGTAAAATTATCTTCAACTTGGTTTCCCCTGTCAAATTGCACATGTCTGCTTTGCATATACTTGAATGTTTTCGTTTTGGTTTGGTTTGGTTTACTCTTTGTTCCCTGTTCGTGGTATAAATGTTTTCAAAAATGAATTCTAAAACATAATTGTGTCTGTGGTGATTTTTGCATATGTGAGATTAAATATGCCTTATTTTCCATTATAAAAGGAACATAGTGCACTGGTGGCAAGGAACATTCTGACCTTCCATGTTAAATCAGTGAGAGCCCTTTGCCAGTTCTTCTGGTTGTAAGATACCCTAGAGAACCAGCAGAGGGCGTGTGAGACTTCGTTAAAATTGCAAACAGCTGGAAAAGTAGATGCTGGCTGTTGCTTGGTATTACAGTTAAATATTCATGATTGACTCTAGTCAGAAGTATTTTTCAGCAGATTGAGACATTTGTTTGCTGTTTACACCGAGTTATCACTAGTTAATACATGTAGTAATACGTAGGTTTTGTGAATGACCAGGCTTAAAATCTAGTTTCCTTTTGTTTTAAATAATGGAAATTTGGGAAGAGGATTAGGTCTCCTGTCTGCTTGACTTGGGGATATGAGTAGGATGTAGAATAAATGTCTTAGAAGCACATATAAGAGAAGCTTTAATTCTATGAATAATACTTTTAGACCCCAACTATTGAGAACAAATGTGGGATGGTGAAGACAAATGGCCAACTCATTTCCCCATGTTTTTCTTGTGCTCTATAGGTTTTTCGTGGCTTCAGTAGATTGCTTGTACAGTGATAAGTCCACTGGAAAAACATTTTAGAGCTGGAATGTACTTCTTGTTTTTAGTCACACTGTAAACTCTTTAGCCTTCCTGGTTATCACTGATTTTTGTCCCTTGGATACAATGCTAAAATGACATCTTTTAGATGCCCCTCCTCTCCATTTTAATATGGTCCTATCTCCTTGGTTTAATTGCAGGCGCATTGAACAGTCCTGGGCACTACTGGTAAATTAAGCCCAAAGATGGGGAGAAAGGAAAAGGAGAGACAAATATAGTCCATACTGAGTGTCATCAGCAATCCAGACTGAAGTCTTCTATTTTAATCTCAATCCCCTTTTCTGATTTCCCACCCATGCCTCTTCAGGCTGGAAACAGTCTCACACTTTTGGTTCCCTAAAGCACTTTATTCAACTGTTGTGATTCAGTGAACCTTGCCTTTTGCTTTCTATTACTTGTGTGCATTTGCCTCATCTCTGACCATGTTTTAAATCCTTTGTATCTCCTTAGCTGCTCAATAAATATTTGAATGAATCAATTAAGAATGTATGTGACAATAATTTTGAAATGGAAATTGTTAATGTGAAGTTTATTTTACCTAGGTTACTGGAGGCAGTTCAGTTTCTTAATGCTATACCTGATTCTGCCAAGGTCCCTTGGACATTTGAAAACCCTTTCACTCCTTTAAAAATTCATAAAAGATAACTTACAGGGAAAGATATTCCAAAGTAGTGACGAATTTAAACATTTCAAGATATTTGCTATAGTAATGTTTTGGAATTTTGGTGACAGAGTCACAGGTAATGCCAATATTCTTGTAGTTTCTTGCCTACATCCATAATTTGAAGGACATGGTAAGTATTATTGATTAGTGAAGTGTAGTAATTGTAAATTTTTTCCTCCATTCAACTTTTTATCTCTTTAACTGATGATCAGATTAGTGTTGTGCTGAACCAAAGTTTGTGTTCAATAAAAATTTATTAAAATAACAGTTGACATGGTTCTCCAAAGGAGTGTAATGGTTGTATTCTGGATGATAAAACTGACTTGTTAGATAATGCACATAAGCAACCAACTTGCCATGTTCGTGTGTGTCTAGAATCTCAAGTGTAGCTTATGTTTTACATTCTTAGGGAAGCTGTTTGGGAAGATCTGAAACTCTGGCAAATCTGTTTGAATAGAGGTACTAACCATGCTGCCAAGTAGGGCTTTTTGGCCCTGAAAAAGACATTGAATATTGGAAATTTGAGGGGAAAAGGAATGAGCTGATAAATGTAATAGGGTGCAGATCATAGAGGGATTTTTTAAATGTATCTCTTTCAGTATATTTCTCTACTTAGCTGTAATAATCCTTTTGTCTCAATAGGGTGGTTCTCTTCCCAAAGTGGAAGCCAAGTTCATCAATTATGTGAAGAATTGCTTCCGGATGACTGACCAGGAGGTAACTGGATTTCCTGGGGACATGATCAAATCTAAGTTTATTTGTGTGATTTATGATGATAATGCCTTCACTCTGGCTCTTTAAAAGGTTCCTAACCACAGATGATAATACTTGACATTAAATATATGAGAACTCGGCCAGGTGTGGTGGCCCACTTTGGGATACCGAGGTGGGTGGATCACGAGGTCAAGAGATGGAGACCATCCTGGTCAACATGGTGAAACCCCGTCTCTACTAAAAATATAAAAACTTAGCTGGGCATGGTGGTGCGTGCCTGTAATCCCAGCTACTCGGGAGGCTGAGGCAGGAGAATTGTCTGAACCCAGGAGGCGGAGGTTGCGGTGAGCTGAGATTGCGCCATTGCACTCCAGCCTGGGTAACAAGAACGAAACTCCGTCTCAAAAAATATATATATATATATATATACATACATACATACACACACGTATACGTGTATATATACATACACACACACACACACACACACACACACACACACACATATATGAACTCTTAAAGAAGACAGTTGGCAGTCTGAGAAGATAACTTTAGGGTATTTTCCCCAGCTTTCATAGAGTTGGTAAATGATTTTGGTTATTGAATTCAGTTTTACTTTTTTGGTACTATGTTGGCTAAGGAAATTGCTGTGGTTTTTCTTGCTACTCCATTTGGCTGCTCGGGGCAGTCTGGTCTTTGCTTTTTTGGGATTTGGTAGAGATTTTTTCTTCGTGGATCTTATGGGAAATGTTTTTTGCCAAAGTCATCCTAACATGAAATCTGGTAGCCAGACACCAAATTGTGGTTACTACTAGATACATAAGCTTCAGTTAGCTGTTAAATTTTACAATTACTACATGTGAAAGTATTTTTGTCAACATAAAGTTTATGCATTTTTTTTCTCATACAGTTGACTCACAGGTGTAAGGAAAATGTAAAAGTGATTAAGTAGGGATTTGTAAGGTATTGTGTGTAGAGAACAGATGATGCATTTAATGGTTTTTACGTTTTCTGTGTTTAGCTTTTTTCAAAAAATTATGAAAATTCGGCAATTAGCTGTTTTTTTCTGCCATAGTATTTAGCACTTGTTTATTTAATTGCAACAGTGCTTGAATTTATATTCAGGTTCGTGAAACCCTGATGTGGTTAATTTTAACTTTGTGAAGGTTGCAGTGATGGGCTGTAAAATGATCAGATACAGTCTGTTTTGGTTTCTGTTCTGTTTTTTTTCTCTACATTTGAATCCCAAAATGTTAGTGTGGGTTTTTGGGAGTTTATTTGGAATAATAAACATTTATTGAGCATAAGTTATTTTGAAACTCTGCATTATGCAACTGGTTATTCAATATTGAAAATAGTGGGAAATCAGATAAATAACCAGCATGTACTAACAGCTAAGCATAGATGTATTTCTTCAACTGCTGCCAAGAAAAGTGATAAATTTAATGATTAAGTTGTGGTGGTCTTCTGTATTTTATAACAAAGTTTTGTAGCTATTAAATTACTGAACCAGAACTTCTCCCAGAAGTATTATTATTATTTTTTTAAAGTATTTTGGGCCAGGTTGATCTTGAACTCCTGGCCTCAAGCAATTCTCCCACCTCGGCCTCCCAGAGTGGTAAGATTCTAGGCACAAGCCACCTTGCCCAGCCTACCAGAAGTATTTTCTTGCTCTGGAATTTAAAGTGTTCTCAAGTGTCAGGATGAAATTCTTGCAATAAATAGTAAATGCTTAATAACTTGAATTACTATTATAGAGATTATCAAAACTAAATTTCTCCTGTTTTTATGACATAGAGCTGCAGTGTACAAAAAATGAGAATTTATATTTGTCTGAACCTATGAATAGAAGATTTCTGACTGGACATGGTAGCTCACACTTAACAGTCCCAGCACTTTGGGTGGCAACATGGCAAAACTCTGTCTCTACTAAAAATACTAAATTTAGATGTGTGTGGTGTGTGTGTGGTGGCATGTACCTGTACTCCCAGCCTTGGCTAAGTGCTGGGATTACAGGTGTAAGCCATGGTGCTTTTTTTTTTTTTTAATGTGGATGTCATCCATCTAGTGTGATCTTGGCTAAACTGCAACCTCTGTGTCTTGGGCTCAGGCTATCCACCCACCTCAGCCTCCCAAGTAGCTGGGCTTCCTATAGTTGCACACCACCGTGCCCGGCTAAGTTTTGATTTTAGTAAACAAGGTTTCACTATGTTACCCAGGCTGGTCTCAAACTCCTGAGCTGAAGTGATCTGCCCGCCTCAGCCTCCCAAAGTGCAGGGATTTACAGGCATGAACCACCATGCCTGGCCTCAGCATATAGTTTTCTAAATGTATACTTGCATAGGCAATTCAGAATACGTTCTCTAACTATTTGCTAAATCTGGCCAACTCTAAAGCTGATCTCAAGATAGATGAAGTTGGAAGTAACATTGGCCATGTAGGTCTCTGTCCTTTGTTTAATAAATAACATTATTTCCTTAGTAAATAATGTTAAGCTATGAAATATTTATTATCATATTTTATGACTGATTAAAGGGTTTAAATCAGATGACTGATGACATCTGAGTACACATTTTCTTGGAGTCATTTCTTTAGAGTTAACCTGTTTGGTAGAATGAAAATAGATGTTGAACTATGCAGAGACGTTTAATTTATTGATGTCTGTGAAGTGTTGTGGGTTCCTTAACCACATTTCTTTTTTTTTTTTTTCCAGGCTATTCAAGATCTCTGGCAGTGGAGGAAGTCTCTTTAAGAAAATAGTTTAAACAATTTGTTAAAAATTTTCCGTCTTATTTCATTTCTGTAACAGTTGATATCTGGCTGTCCTTTTTATAATGCAGAGTGAGAATTTTCCCTACCGTGTTTGATAAATGTTGTCGAGATTCCATTGCCAAGAATGTGTTGTCCAAAATGCCTGTAGTTTTTAAAGATGGAACTCCACCCTTTGCTTGGTTTTAAGTATGTATGGAATGTTATGATAGGACATAGTAGTAGTGGTGGTCAGACATGGAAATGGTGGGGAGACAAAAATATACATGTGAAATAAAACTCAGTATTTTAATAAAGTAGCATAGTGTCTGTTGGCTTATTTAACTGTTATATACTTTGTCACAGAAATAATTTACATAGTTAAGAATGGCAAATGGTATAAAATTCGAAGAACATCCCTGCCTTCCCCTTCAATAGTTCCTCCTGGAGCTAACCACTTTTTCTTCATAAGGATTGGGTGCTGTGCTCCCACCTCCTGATGATAGTTAACAATTAAAACTGCAACATACTTCCAAATGTTCCATTAGACCTCCTATCCACCTATTCTAGCCTCACTCCCAAAGAAAATCTGGCATGTTCAAACAGCTTTAAGCAGCCTTTCTCAACCTGCATTTTTGTTTTTTTTTTGAGGCAGGAGTGCAGTTGCACAATCTTACTGCAGCCTCCACTTCTTGAGTTCAGGCGACTCTACTGAGCCTCCCAAGTAGCTGGGATTATAGGTGTGAGCCAGCAACGCAGATAATTTTCGTATTTTTAATAGAAATGAGTTTTAACCAGACCTCAAGTGATTTGCCCACCTCATCTTCCTAAAGTGCTAGGATTTACAGGTGTGAGCCACCACACCCGGCCTAGAGCTGGATTCTTTATCTGAATCAAAGCAATTTGTGTTTTGCCTTAAGCTGATTACATGATCTGAGTTGGGTATACTGATTTCTCCTAGGCTGTGGTTTTATACTCCTAGTAGTTGAGGGGACGTTCTCCATTTCTCTGCCTTTTTCCTTGGGAGGTTTGTCTCCCGCTTCTATCCATTCTTAGGCTTGTTTGATAATACTGGATGGTTTTTCTCATTCCTTTTTGTTTAAATTCTGGAAAGACTTTTGTCTTCGCAAATTTTGTGTTGATTTCTATATACTTAGTGCTTGCTTGCTTGGGGCGTGTATCTGAAATCTAAATATTTATTCCAACATTTTGAAGTGATCTTGTAGTTTTTGTTTTGAGACAGCCTCGTCCTGTCACCTAAGCTGGAGTGCAATGGTGCAATCTCAGCTCACTGTCATCTCCCGTCTCTGCCTTCCAAATAGCTGGGAGTACAAGTGTGTGCCACCACTCCTGGCTAATTGTGTGTATGTATAATACATATATATATGTGTGTGTGTGTGTATATATATATTAGAAGAAGCAGGGTTTTACCATGTTGGCCAGGGTGGTCTCAAACTCCTGACCTCAGAATGGTCTGCCTGCCTTGGCCTCTCAAAGTGCTGGCATTAGGCATGAGCCAGTGCCCTTGCCAGGCTTGTTCTTTCATCCTGTGTGTTTTTCCCTTTTCTTCTAGTAGCCTGTTTTATTTAGCAGGTTGCCATTTGTTGACTAGGCTGATAGTTGCTTACATTTTGATCTGTAGATTTTAACCCTTTTTGCCTCTAGGATAGATCTCCAGAGTAATCTCATTTTGGAGAGGGGAAGAGGTTGGGTACAGTACTATTTTGATCAGTTTCTGGGTGCCAGGTGTGTGGTCTAATCATTTGCTGTGGGTAATGGTTGCCTTCATTCAGTGTCCTCTGTCCATGTTTCTTTTCTATATACCTTTAAGACTTGAGAGGATGGTGTGTTTATTGCTTCATTGGAAAGTACCCCCCCCCCCCGCCTTTTTTTTAGTGTAGTGGTGTGATCTCCCACTGCAGCCTTCTGAGTATCAAAGACTACAGGCTTGTGCCACCATGCCCTACTTTTTGTAGAGATGTGGTTTTGCCATGTTGCCCAGGCTGGTCTTGGCACTCTTGGGCTCAAGCGATCTCCCACCTCTTCCTTCCAAAGTGCTAGGTTTATAGGTGTGAGCCATCACATCTGGCTGGAAATTAATGTTATTTTTTGGGTCAATTTTCAGAATGATGAATTGATAGCATCCTGTGAAAGGAGACAGTGAATTTAAGTATCCCGAATTCAGATTTTTATCTGTTTGTATTTCAACCCACTATTTTTTTTGATGATGATACTTCTTTTTGACCCAGGGAATCCCCTTCAAGCTTGCTCCTACCATAGCAGATCTCAGCCATCTGATTACTCTGATTTCTTATGTGACAGGGTGTTCAAGTTTCATCTTGCTCATTTCTCTTCCTCAGACCTGGGCCCACACCTGCAGGCACCATTTCCCCCAAAGAACCCTAGCTCACTTTAAGGAATAATGGTATTTGTAGATCATTGTCAGGGCAGGAACATTGCTTGTTTATACTGGGTTCTAGGTTAGCCAGTTGAATTAGATCACCAAACCCTTTGGAAAAGGGAATGAACGATTTTATGAGTGCTGAGGAGGACATCCATGCACAGGTTGGCTGACAAGCTTTTCATAAGTCAACAATCAACGTAACTACAGAGCTACCCTCAGTCTCAGAGAACAGGAAAAATAGGTTGCAGTAGTAAAAAGACCATACGGGGAAAGCAGATGAGGTTTCTTAAAAAGGCACAAATACAGAGTAATAGCATGAGGTTTATAGTGGTGTATCAATGCTTGGAGAAACTACGTGGTTTTGACTTAAAATACGTAGTCACAGATAATGATGGGGATACGTACTGAGAAACCCACTGTTAGGCATTTTTGTCATGTGAACAGAATAGTTCCATGAATTTAGGTGGTAGAGCCTACCACACACCTAAGCTGTAAGGTACAGCCTATGCCTTCAAGGCTACAAACCTGTACAGTATAGTTGTACTGAATACTATAGGCACTTATATCTCAGTAGTGAGTATTTGTATCTAAACAGAAAAGGTCCAGTAAAAAGATGGTAAATATTTTTAAAAATGGCATATAAGGGCACTTCAATGACTAGAACTTGCAGAAATGGAAATTGCTGATTGAGAATAAAAAGCCTAGGACAGGGGTCCAAAGTGGCTCCCACCGGATGTCGTGGCGCTTGCGAAGGCAAGGTCATGAGTTCAAGGCTAACCTGAGCAACCTTACAAACTCACACTGATTGGCAAAAAAAAAAAAAAAAAAAAAAAAAAAAAGCCTAGGACATTATACTGCTGTAAACTATAAACACGGTATACTTACACTACGCTAAATGCTTTTCTTCATTAACCTTAGCTTAGTGAACTGTATAAACTTTAAAAACTTTGACTCTTGTAATACTTAACAAACTACAGGTGTCCAAAAATACATTTTTTTTAGACAGAGTCTCACTCTTGCCCAGACCTGGAGTGCAGTGATGTGATCTTGGCTCACTGCAACCTTTGCCTCTTGGGTTCAAGTGATTCTCCCGTCTCAGCCTCCTAAGTAGCTGCCATCATACTTGGCTTTTTTTTTTTTTTGTATTTTTGTTGGGGTTTCACAATGTTGCCCAGCCTGGTCTTGAACTCCTGACCTCAGGTGATCCACCTGCCTTGTCCTCTCAAAGTGCTGGGATTATAGGCGTGAGCCACCATGCCTGGCCTCAAAAATACATTCTTTTTTTTGTAACAGTCTCACTCTTGCCCAGGCTGGAGTGCAGTGGCGCAATCTTGGCTCACTGCAACCTCTGCTTCCGTGTTCAAGTGATTCTCCTGCCTCAGCCTCCTGAGTAGCTGGGACTACAGGTGTGTGCCACCATACCTGACTAATTTTTTGTATTTTATTAGAGATGGGGTTTCACCATGTTAGCCAGGATGGTCTTGATCTGACCTCATGATCCTCCTGCCTCAGCCTCCGAAAGTGCTGGGATTACAGGCATGAGCCACTGTGCCCAGCAAAAAAACATTTTTATTCTTTACATTTCTATTAAAATTTTTTTCAACTTTTTTGTTAACTAAGACATACTTTCGCCTAGGCCTACCATGGGGTCAGGATCATCAACATGTCGTTCATCCAACATATTGTCCCACTGGAAGGTCTTCAGGGGCAATGAGAGGACGCTGTCATCTGTAACATTGCCTTCTGGAATACCACCTGAGGCTTTTTTTTTTTTTTTTGGAGCACACTGATAAAAAGTACAATAAATATGTAAATCGGTAATACATTTTTTTAATATCAAGTATGTACTGTACATAATACAGGTTTGTTTACATCAGCATCGTACTATGCTGTTACAATTGCTACAATAGCTCCCTTATAATCTGGGCTCACCATACATGTGGTCTGTTCTTAACCAAACCATCATTATGCAGCTTTTATTTTTATTTTTTGAGACAGTCTCATTCTGTTGCCCTGGCTGGAGTTCAGTGGGGCAATTTTAGCTTACTGTAACCTCTGCCTCCTGGGTTCAAGTGATTCTTATGCCTCAGCCTCCCAGTAGCTAGAACTACAGGTGCGTGCCACCATGCCTGGCTAAGTTTTATATTTTTAGTAGAGACGGGGCCTCACCATGTTGGCCATTCTGGTCTCGAGCTCCTGACCCCAGGTGATCTGCCCACGTTGGCCTCCCAAAGTGCTGGGATTACAGGCGTGAACCACCATACCTGGCCGGCTTTTTTTCTTTTTATGGATAAATTTTTCTTTTTCTTTTTTCTTTTTATTTTTTTGAGATAGGTTCTTACTCTCTTGCCCAGGCTGGAGTGCAGTGGCATAATCTTGGCTCACTGCAACCCTCTCTTGGGTTCCAGCGATTCTCCCACCTCAGCCTTCCGAGTAGCTGGGACTACAGGCGCATGCCACCACTTTTTGTATTTTTTATAGAGACAGGGTCTCACTATATTGGCCAGGCTGGTCTCAAACTCCTGGTCAAATGATCCAACCACCTCGGCTTCCCAAAGGCCTGAGATTACAGCATGAGGCACTGACCTTTAGGCAGCTCTTGACAGTGCTAGCTTGATAAGCAAGGAGAGGAGATGAGCATTGTACAGGGTGTGGGTTTTTTGTTGGAAATTGTTCAAGGAAAAAAAGGTTAAGTTGAGGGTTACAAGTATATATTGAGTCCATTAAAAGGTGGCCTGGACACTGGAAATACAGGGTTAAAGTTATTTGAGAAAGTCTGAGGCTACTGTCCAGCCAGTTCCTTAATGAAGAGCCAGTTGCTCCCTGACTCATGGACTTGGCAGCAGAGGTCCCAAGTTTTAATGCTGTGCAAATTCTAGGAGATGGCTTTCAGAAAACTTTAGAGCCCATCTGTGCTAAGGGTCTACTTTTCTTATTAAAATACCTGATACTGTTGAAGACAGTGCTGTTGCTTGAGGCTGTTTGTGCTGTGTTCTTAGTCTGGATGTTTTCCCTCTTTGTCTCCACAATATTTGTACTCCACAGAGTCCCTGAATCTTAGGAATCTTCTCAATCAAGATGGGAGAAGTGGAAAACAAGTGGAAAGACTGCAGGGCTTAGTTTACTTGCACACTTGAACAGGGAGATTGAATTTAAATACATACTGTCTCAGATGAAGTTCTAGGTGCTTAGGGTTAGTCAGTAGGCAAGGTACTTAGATGCCCTGCAGGCCTTACATTTCATGGGGTTACCAGTCAACATACATTCTCAACTCCCCTCAGAAAATTGCCTGAGTTTATTAGCTTAGAGCTGAGAATTGAATGCAGGTGTTTCTGATTCTGACCCCAAAATAGCACATAGCTGGCTAGCCCAATCTACCATACTCTTATCTGGACTGGTGACAGCTAGCTGTCTCACTGTCCTCCTTACTCCAGCTATTAAGAATGAAGTGGAATGGTATAACAGCATTCCACTTCATTCTTAGCCATCGTAATGCTTTTTTTTTTTTTGACGGAGTCTCCTTCTGTTGCCCAGGCTGGAGCACAGTGGTATAATCTTGGCTCACTGCAAACTCCGCCTCCTGGGTTCAAGCAATTCTCTGCCTCAGCCTCCCGAGCAGCTGGGATTACAGGCACCCACCAACATGCCTGGCTAATTTTTCTATTTTTAGTAGAGACAGGGTTTCACCATCTTGGCCAGGCTGGTCTTGAACGCCGAACCTCGTGATCCACCCACCCCGGCCTTTCAAAGTACTGAGATTACAGGCGTGAGTCACCGCGCCGAGCCCAGGGTAAAGCTCTTTTTTTTTTTCAAAAAACAAACTGAATTTTGACTCAGTTTCAAGGCCTTAATTGACAACTTGTGGCATATCTATACTATTAAATACTATCCCACAGTGAAAAGGGATTACTGCAAAATGCAACAAAAGATTAATCTCAAAACATGCTCAGCCAGACACAAAGAAGCACATACTGGGTGGTTCCATTTATGTGAAATTGAAAATAAACCAGCACCAGCAGATAAATGATTCCTTGGGATGAGCAATTGGGGGTGGGAAGATTACCTGAGAAGAGGTGGTGGTTATACCTGGATACATCTGTCAGAACTGAACTGTACACTTAAAACTGATGCATTGCAAAACTGGTACCCTTCAAAAAGCTGTTGATGTCTACTTAATTTCCTGTGAAGGCCTGCCTGCAAGGCATGGTCAAGCACGCTGCCTGTTTTCACCCTCATCTCTTGCCACACTCTCCCAGGCTAACCCTGCCAGTCACCTAGCCTTTGTCCACTGGAGGTACTTCACATCTTTTACCTGAAATGCTCCTTTGCATGGCTGACTATCTCCTGTTTCTTGGTCTCAGCCTAAATGTTACCAAGAGGTCTTCTGGCTTCTCCATCTCCCATGCCGTTTATCTCAACCCACTGGTTTTTCTCAAAGCACTGGCAACCAACCAGCATTTATATCTTGGTGTATTTGCTTATTGCCCATCTTCCCTAGTAGAAAAGAAGTGCTTTTTTAGCGCAGGGACCTTGCCTATCTTTTAATGGGGGCCCAACACTGTAAGATCTCAATGAATTGTGATCGAATTTGTAAGAAGTGATTACTAAAATAGTGGTATATATTAAGTGTTGTATGAACATACCAAATTTAAGATTCAGGCATATGGTAAATAGGTCATATTGGTAAATAGGTACATGAAACTAGACTCGAGGGTGTGAATGGTGGGGAAAAGAATGTGTGGTATAAAATGGATTTGGAGTCAAAAGACATTCTGACTAGACGCCTCTTCAGCTGTAAATTGGAAATGATCCTGCCTCCCTACTTCATGAAATTGTTCACAAAGAAATGTGAAAATAACCTGAAAACCAGAATTAGGATTAATAGTTAACAGCTAAAACGTTGGAGCTTTCATTATGTGGCAGACCGCTCATTCAGTACTCAGCTCTGTGAGAGTCGTTACTATTCTCAGCCATATTTTGTAGATGAGGAAGCAGAAGAGTCTCAGACTGTTGCTTGCTGGAATTTCTAAGTTAATGTTGGTGGCAATATTCAAATGCAGTGCCTCTGACTCCTGAGTTTATGCTCTTACTCATAACGTTCTCTTGACTGGACTTCTTGGTCGATTTGTTTGATAGGTGAGATTGGCAAATATACTTCATCTGAACACTGAAAAATATTGCAAGCATTTTAGATAGGGTATACATATGATATACCCACTCCATCCACAAATAATAAAAAATAGTAACCGTATAGAAAATTGGAAGCATGATTCTTAGCCAGGAGATACTTCAAACTAGCAGATGGTAAGCCAAAAATCTCTCTTGACTGGGTTCGTCAATCTTCCTATAAAGCAAGGTCAAAGATGGCAGCAATGATTCAGGTCGCCGGTGGGAGCATTTCTGTCCATTTCTATGATTGGTCATTGCATCCTAACTTGGGAAGTTACGAGTAACTTTGCAAGTCCAGTTCTGGCTATCAGAACGTCTAAGTAAATTCAGCCCAAAAGCTTCACGCAGGAATTTTTCCCATCGCTGAGCACCTGGTTTTGAAAAGGTTTTCTGCACTTGTGTCCAGTGTTGAAAAATAGGCTGTTTAAAATAGCCTCAGCTTTGATAGGGAACTTAAAATAGCTTGCAGGGAGCCCTGATATTTGGAACAATTACTAATGTTTTATATTCATGGCTTCGGGAAATAGCACCGTTTGCCACTATCTGCTCTAGTGAAATGGGACCATCAACCATTGCCAAGGCAAGGAGGCTTTAACCAAATAGTCTGGATTCCTGAGTTTTGCTTGAACCAGTTCTCATTGCGGCCTATTTTCCTTAGCGTCAGGCCCAAGCAGAGCTTGGTTGACACCGGCTCTAGATAGTGAGGCAGGTGCGTGACAAGAACACCTACGTTTTGGGGTTGGTGGGAAGGGCAGGAGTTACGCCTCTGGAAGGGGTGGAGGCGGTAAGAACCAGTGTCTTGAATTGGGGCCCTGGTCAAAAGAACGAAGTTGCTTAGTATGCAAACGGAGGCAAGTCTTAGCCTGGTGTCGGTAGGAGGCCGAAAGAGGGCCTTAGCGTAGTCGCTGACCAGAGTCCTGCTGGATGCTCTCCGCCGTGCAGCCGCCGGTGCTGGGGTTGCAGTGACGTCTTGGGGCCGCTTGGTGGTAGCCGTGTGTTTCCAAAGCTGGCTTGCCTACGGGAAAGCCTAGCTGGGATCCGGTGAACCGACCCCAGAGCCCCGGAGGAGGCGAGGGGTTGGAAGGAAAGACGCCCCGGAGCCCCCTTCGCAGCAGCAGGGACGTAAGAAGAGCAATGGGGCTCACTTAAGTGGGTAGCCAGTCAAGAGGGTGGCCGGGAAACTCCACGATCACAGGGCGAGTAAAAGCGACCCCCTTCAGTGGAGTCGGCCCGGGGCTGGGTGTGACCCGCCCTCTCCCGGCTCCCCACTCGAGCGCTGATGAGTGAGCGCGAGTAGCTAATGTGGGCAGGTAAGGACGCTCCGTACCTAACTGCGTTCTTGGGGAGCATCGCCTGCCCAATTTGGGCAACGTTTGCGCGGAGGAGCGGGTCACTCCGCTCGGGCGCAGAGCTCCGACGGCTTCCAGCGCTATCTCCGGTCTCGCGGGTCCTGCCCCTTCGGAGCTGCAGGTCCCGTCGCCGAGAGTCTGAGTGCCTCCCCTCCAACCCCGAGCCGCCAGAAGAAGGAGGAGGCAATAAGAGGTCGCGGCAGGCAGGCGAGCAGGCAGGGCCGCCTTTGATGTGGGCTCGGCGCACCCAGGCGAGCTGAGCGCCCGTCCGGCCGCGCCCCGAGGGGGGAGACCCCAGGCCCGGCATCCTCATTGTGCCGGCTCGGGCCCGGGCCCGCCCCCGGCCCCCCGCCCCCTCGCCGCCCGCGCGTAGAAAACGCCCCGGCCGCCGCCAGCGGTGGGAGGCGGCGATGCGCACGGCCGGAGAGACGCGGAGGAGGAGACATGAGCCGGCGGGCTCCCAGACGGAGCGGCCGTGACGCGTTAGCGCTGCAGTCGCGCGCCCCGAACCCGGAGCGCTGAACCCTGGCCCCACGCAGCCCGGCGCCCCGGCCGGAGAGCCCAACCCGACTTCCAGCCCCGCTGCTCATGCATTCCGCGGACTGAGCCGGGCAGCCAGCCTCCCGCAGACGCCCGGACGGCCGGTCAGTAGTGAGCAAGCTTCCCCGCACCGGTCGGGCGCCTTCTGCACAGCGGCTGCCGCCCCGCAGCCCCTGCGCCAGCCCGGAGGGCGCAGCGCTCGGGAGGAGCCGCGCGGGGCGCTGATGCCGCAGGGCGCGCCGCGGAGCGCCCCGGAGCAGCAGAGTCTGCAGCAGCAGCAGCCGGCGAGGAGGGAGCAGCAGCAGCGGCGGCGGCGGCGGCGGCGGCGGCGGAGGCGCCCGGTCCCAGCCGCGCGAAGCGGACATGTGCAGGCTGGGCTAGGAGCCGCCGCCTCCCTCCCGCCCAGCGATGTATTCAGCGCCCTCCGCCTGCACTTGCCTGTAAGCGCCCGCGCGCGGGGCTGCCCACCCTGCTTGGCCGTCTGTCCGTGTGCCTGTGCCCTGTGCCTCTGTCTGCCAGCCCGTTCGTTCGCCCGATTCTTCGACTGCGTGCCTATCTTTCAGTGCGCCCCCTCCCTCAGGTCCCACTGACCGCTTCTCCATCTTTTTCCCGCAGGTGTTTACACTTCCTGCTGCTGTGCTTCCAGGTACAGGTACGTGGGCTACTGACTTTGACCTCCCCCGCCCCTGCCTCGCGGTACTTGCTGACCCCACTTCCCCGGCCGCGCCCCCTCCTTGTGCCCCACCCCTCCTGGGCGCCAAGCCCAGTGCACCTGTTCCCAGGGCGCGGAAGGGCGGCTCCGCGCGCGCCCTGCGCGGGCGAGGGACCGACCAAGGGCAAGGGGCTTGCTTCGGGGCCAGAGCCAGCGCGGGCTGTCGCGGCCCCTGTTGGCCTCGGCTGGGAGGAGATCCCGCAGAGCGGGCGGACTCAGCCGCAGCAATCTGCCTGGCTCTAAGACCCCTGCCCGCAGCCAGCGAGGGGTAGGACCTCGGGATTTTCTCTGCCAACCTTCCCTTAACATCGCCGCTTCCAAACAAAAAGGCTTTCAGCCGAGTGGATTTCGAGTCCAGGGAGAAAGCTTCAGTTGTAAATTACCCTGTGGTTTTGAAGTCGCTTGCTGCACTGAGACACACACACAGACACACACACGCCCGGGACGAGTGGAGGCACGGGGCTCCTAGGCCGAGTGGCCGTTGCCCTAGAGGCCGCTCCGGAACGGGCCGCGCTCAGCACGCTCTCACCCAAGGTGGTGCAGCCCTCGCTGGTTCCCCGCCTGCTCCCCGTTCGCTCGCTCTCCGAGAATCAGAAGAGGGCTTGGCGCTCAGCCTGGAAAGCACTTGCTAAAATCTGATCTGTTACTTCAGCAGCTTTCAGACTCGGGAAGGTCTTGGCACGCAGACAGTTGGAACGCTCTGGCTTCCAAAGCCGTAGAAATGAAGGAAAAAGGGTGGGGGGGGGGGGGAAGAGAAGAGGGAAAAAGGGAGCCGATTTCAGCCCCGATTAGAACCAGACCAGGGCTGCCAGTGCATGGATGGGAGGGGGGCGGCGGCGGGCAAAGGGAATAGGAAGCGTCAGCTCCCCAAAGCCCCCACCCACCTAGAGGTGCAAGGGGGCAGCCAGGAGGAACTGGACACAGGCCAAAAGAGGGTTGTCTGACCCTTCCCCCTCGGTGGAGGGCAGGTGGCTTTCTGGGATTGGAAAAGATGCTTAGACCTTAGCCTTCTGGATTCTGGAGATCCCTAGAGAGAGACTTGAGCACAGGAAATTGGTGATTCTCCCGGTTTTCTGGCGTAAGGAGTATTGTGTGCCTTGAGCACTGCTGCGTGTTGGCAGTGGTGGGCCTGGTGTCTTCCTTCCAAACCCGGGAGAGGGTTGTTACCCTCCTGGTAGGCACTGAGCTGGCGGCATCCAGTGGGGCTTCGTCCTGGAAGAGTGGATGGACAGACAGACTGATGGGTTCTTTCCTCTTGTTGGCCAGGCTGGGGTCCCCAGTGACTCCTTGAATCAATACAACTGGAGTCAGTAACTTAAAACTGGCCGTTTGCCAAAGCAGATGTGACCCTGTGTGGTGATGGGGGTGGGGGTGGGGAATGGCTGGTGTCAAAGAGGGAGGCCAGTGCCAGGCATGGCCTGCCTGGTCTGCAGCTGAGTCCCCAAACAGAGGGCAGGCCCTGGGGTCACTCCAGGGGGTCTGCTTGTCTGACCTGAGCAAGAGCTGGATTCCAGAATGCTGAGCCTGGGAGCTGGAGGGATGGAGTAGCATGGAGTAGCAGGGAAGCATTCGGAGGTGTGGCTCAAGCCTCTGGATGCCTGCTGTTCTTGGTTCTTCCTGAAGTGGGGCCCAGGAGGGGCTGCTATGTGGTCTTTGTGTTCTCCGGGGGAGCTGGAGGGAAGGAGTGTGACTCTGTATCCCACCTCCACCTCCTGGCCAGAGCTAGAGCCAGCATCTTGTGAAAGAGCTGGGTGATCTGCCTGGGTTAGGTCAAGAGGCAGCCTTCCAGCAGGTGAGGGAGGCTCCTTTCCCTGCTGCCTCTGCCTTTCCCCTTCCTTTGCCCCTTTGTCTACCGGCCTTTCTGCTTCTGAAGTGCCATAGGACTGATGTTTTTAACCCATGGTCCATGTACCCTTGGAGTGTCAAAGGATGCGATTGTGGGAGGGAGAGGCCCTTGAAACATTGCACAAAAATGGTGCTCAGATGTGCTGTGTCTGGAAGAGGGTTCTTGGCTCCCCACAGAGCTTCAAAGCATCTGTGACCCCTAAAGATGAAGCAGTGTTATCCTGGGGGTTATGGGCAGGGTTGTCCCCATTCACACTAAAGGAACAAATGTGGGGTGGCCTTAATGGTTGAGATGAGGGGTGGGAGTCATGTGATGTTAATTGCCAGGAGTCTGAGGCCTGCTCCCTGCTGAGGTTTGGGCAGGCTGTACTTAGTCGGTACAGTTCAAGCTCCATTAGGGTGAGCAGGGGCCAGGGAGGCCTCTCCGTATGGCGGGAAGGGCTCAGGGCTTTGCAATCCAGTGGCCTAGGCCTGAACCCCAGCTCCAGCTCCATCTTTCCCTCTCCATGGATTCCTGGAGTCTTAGCTGCATAATTTGTGAAATGGGTGGTCATGGAGTTAAACTGGTATTTGATGGGGGACTGGGATGGGGGAAGAAGTTTTGCAAATTCTCATCCACCCAGGAAGGCACATTGTTGCTCCTGGGAAATGGATGTGTCTGCACCCTTTCCTCCTCCACCTCAGTGTTTTCCAGGACTGGTCCAGTCTTAGCAGCTGAGTTTCTTGACCCCTCCTTTCCTCCTGTCCAATGCTACCAGGCTCAGAATGGGTCCCTGCCCCCAGCTACGTTTCCATGAGCACATTCAATGCCAGATACCATCTTGCCTACCCCCAAAGTGGTGAGCTCCGCCCTCACCCACCAGTCACCCTGGAAAGTGGGAAGCTGGGAATTTAATAAAATCCCTTCATCCCTTCTCCACACGACTCGGGACACCATAGATAGCTCAAATTGGAAGAATTTTAAAAATTTCCGTGGGGAGCAAGCGGCGTGACCAGTAAATTGCTTTTCTGCACTTGGCTGAGCTCTGACAATGACACCGGGCTGGGCCTTTCACGCAGCTTGGCCGGCACCTGCCTGACATTGTTCCTGCTGCCAGGCTCTGCTAGGTCCTGGCTTTCCCCAGACAGACCAGGCATGAGGCGGGCCAGGCAGGGAGGGGTGGGGGGGGCATCCCCTGGCCTCTTGGTCCTCCTGCCAGCCTTTTAGCCCCTTGTCCCTCCTGCAGTGCCACTTCCTCTCTCACCAAAAGAAGTGTTCAAGTTTGGAAGTTTCCTTCCACGCCCCCTCTTAGCCTACCTCCATACCCAGCTTCCTCAGTGAGGTTTAGACCCTTTCTTTAATCTGGCTAGCATGGGGAAGCTGGAGAAGGTGTCCTTTGGGACAAAAAGAGGATGGGAAGCTCTCTTAGTGGATGGCACTTTTTTTTTTTTCCTGAGTTCTGTCATTTATGCTAGAGTGCAGTGGTGTGATCTTGGCTCACTGCAACCTCTGCCTCCTTTTGTATTTTTAGTAGAGACAGGGTTTCACCATGTTGGCCAGGACGATCTCAAACTACTGATCTCAGGTGATCTGCCTGCCTCGGCCTCCCAAAATGCTGGGATTACAGGCATAAGCCACTGGGTCCAGCCTTTTACATTCTTAAATCAACGTCACCCATCCATCCACAGTTAGGTATTCATTCAACATTTACTTGCCAGGAGCCTCCTTCTTGCTGCCTTGGGAATAAGGTCTGGTTAGTCCCTGGCCTCAAAGAGCTCCCAGTTTAAAGGGAGAAAGTACCAGATGAACAGAGGCTTGTCTATTCTGCCCCTCCTCTCCCAGCACTATAAAGTGGAGTGAGGCAGGCACATACATCTTCCTCCTATTTAGCAGAGGAAGAAACTGAGGCCAAGGAACAGTCATTTGCTTGAAGGAAAAAGGTGGTGCTTGTAGGAATTCTAGAGTGTCCCTTACATCGCAAAGCTGGTTCAGTTCTATCCTACAGGGACGCCAAGGTAAGAGAGGGTAATAATTCTATTTCACCGATGGAGAAACTGAGGCACAGAATGAGGAAGGGATTTGTTTAGGGTCATAACTAAGACCCAAGACTCTGGATTCAAGATCTTGTGTTTTTTCTACCATAGCGGGTGGACCTTTTTCTCAAAGAATCCTGAAGTTATTAAGAAAGAATATTGCTGAGACCATGGAGGCTTAGGGACACGCTAGGGATCTGCAGTGAGATTCTCTCTGGATGCTGGTGTAGGGGGATGTTGAGGGCCCAGGTAGGCATCTCTGGGCTTGAGGGTGTCTGAGTTGGAGTCTGCAGGTCCTGATCCTCCTGGAATGTGTTGATCTGAGAGGGTCCCAGAGTTAGAGGGGAGTACTTGGGAGGTGAGGGCCAGGGGATTCAGCAGTCCTCTTCCAGCCTTTCCCCAGCGGAGGAGGAGGGGGGAGCGGGGCTCCCTACCAGCATTCCTGAAGCCCGGGAGTGTCACCCGCTCTGAGATAAGGTGGTAGATTTTTAGAATTTCTTGTGGTTAGCATGGTCAGTGTCAGCGGGCTTGCTTGGGACAGCCCATCAGGGTCACAGATGCAGGCTCTACCATGCCCTGGGCAGCTCCAAGGGCACACTGGACCCCCAAAGGGAGTCTAAAGAGGTATCAGGAAGAGACTTCCATTTTCTGCAGGGCCTTTTGCTTCTGACCTAGTCCTCCAGCAGGAGAGTTGTGGGTATGGAAAATTGGGGTGCAGGCACATCAAGCCCTCTGAAACAACAATATTCATAGTTGCCACCAGGAATAGTGTGCTCACTACTTACCAAGTACTTTTTTTATTGTTGTTGAGATGGAGTCTCGCTCTGTCACCCAGGCTGGAGTGCAGTGGTGCGATCTCGGCTCATTGCAACCTCCACCTGCCAGGTTCAAGCAATTCTCCTGCCTCAGCCTGCATGCCACCACACTCAGCTAATTTTTGTATTTTTAGTAGAGATGGGGTTTCACCATGTTCGTGAATGACCATCACGTAGGTCGAATGACCTTAGGTGATCCTCACACCTCGGCCTCCCAAAGTGCTGGGATTACAGGTATGAGCCACCGCATCTGGCCGCCATGCGCTT